CGATTCGAGCACATGTTCTGTGCATTTATCCTTGTTTGCATCACCTTATGGAATAGGAGCTGATCTAATTAACATCTAGTGGGTCTTAATAAAATGATTGATATCTTAAATTTTCCAATATCCCGGACAACACCTGGGCTTGAACAATTGTTTCGTATTTTTGTATTAAAATGAAATTAAACGAAATAAAGAAGATGTAAAGTTCTTTTCTGACACAAAATCTGTTTTAATGCATTTAACAATGCAATGAGTCTAAGCATGAAAGAAACTGTAAGGTGCATTTTCCGGGGTTTTGTACAGTGTTTCGTGTCGTTAAGTTGTATTGGAATGTGCTATCTATTTGTATGTGTTTTTTCACAATCACCGACGACATTTTGCCTTGTATAAATGTGAATAGTTTCGTTCTTTGCAGTACTTGATGTATATATAGTAATCACCGTGTGCAGCGACGGGAAGGTATGGTTATGTATATATACTAACACGAAAAAGAAACGCCGGGTACACTAAATATACTACAAATGATTTATTGCTTGGCCTAGAATAATGACACTCGGTCAGGTTGATGTGTTGTTCGTGGTCACTAGGTACACGTGTTTAAAATCACACAATACCTGACCTCCGCGCTCTTTGCGAGGCACGTGCTAAAATACAAGAATCCCGTGCAGGGGAAGGTCATTGAGTTTGCCAATGGAAATTTTCAGTCTATTTGATAATGTTCAAGTATTCGGATTGATTTTTCAAATTTTGATTCGAATTAAGCAATTTACATCCATGCCACGATTGACGGAAGTCCAGCGCGGACAGGCTATAGGAATGCTTTTGCAGGGCCAGGGCCAACTTCAGGTTGCTGCACATTTTGATGTGCATATTCGGACAATTCAACGTGTGCGAGTGACGGGGAGGGTCATCGACCGACCGCGAAGTGGACGTCCGCGCGTCACGACGCCACATCAGAATCGGTTTATAAGACTCTTTCACTTACGTAATCGCGATCTCACAGCTACCGAAACTGCAAATAACACTATAGGCAGTCATTGCCGTATTCTGTGATATAAGTAAAGCGTTTGATAGGGTTTGGCACAGGGGTCTTATACATAAATTGGAAAAATCTGGCGTTTCTGGTAAATTGCTATCTTGGTGCAAAAATTATTTAACTGACAGAAGTCAAAGGGTTGTTATAAATGGTATTTTCTCTGAAACCCAAAATATCAAAGCAGGTGTACCTCAAGGTTCAATATTAGGTCCTCTCTTCTTTTTAGTATATATTAATGATATAGTGAATGATATTAGTTGTAAAATAAAGTTATTTGCTGATGACACAGCCTTGTATATCATAGTTGAAAATCCCACGATTGCTATTAATACCATCAATAATGATCTTTCAAAAATACATGTATGGGCAAATAAGTGGTTAGTAAAATTTAATCCAGACAAGACAGAATCTTTATTAATTAGCCGAAAAACTATACCAGGAATTTATGATCCTATCACTATGGACAATGTCAATGTAACTAATGTAAAATCTCATAAGCATTTAGGGGTGTTATTTTCTGATGATGGTACATGGAAAAATCATACTGATTACATATTAAAGAAAGTGTCACCAAGACTAGCGGTTTTAAGAAATTTAAAAAACATACTTGATAGGAATTCTCTCCAAACAATATATTTTGCTTTTATCAGACCTATTTTGGAATATTCTGACGTAGTTTGGGATAATTTACCCAATTATTTATGTCAAAATTTAGAAAACATCCAAATAGAAGCTGCAAGAATAGTTACAGGTGCTACTAAATTGTCAAGTGTTAGTTTATTGTATAAAGATGTGGGTTGGGAAAAACTTTCTAAAAGACGGGAAAATCATAAACTCTTGCAGTTTCATAAAATGTATCATAAGAAAACTCCATTTTATCTATCCAGTCTAATTCCAAGTAAGGTATCAGATACCCACAGACATAATACTAGAAATTCAAACAATTTACTATTAATTAATTGCAGGACTCAGTTTTATAAAACATCTTTTTTAAATTCTTCAGTACATTTATGGAATTCTTTACCAATCGACATTCGCGAAAATCCGTCTGTCAGGATTATCAAAAGATTTTTACAAAAAGAAAATGTAATGATTCCACACTATTTTAATATTGGAAGTAGAAACCTTCAAATTTTACATACACGATTGAGACTTAAATGCAGTAATCTCAAACAACATTTATACTTAAGAAATCTGGAAGAAAGTCCATTTTGTTCATGCGGGTTAGTAGAAAGTACCCACCATTTTTTATTGTCTTGTGCTAATTATAACATAATTCGACAAAATACTTTACTTCAACTAGATATTACTCTAACTGAAAAAACTCTATTATGGGGAAACGACACTTACTCTAATCAGAAAAATGAACAAATATTCTTGACCGTGCAAAATTATATCAAGCTTAGTAAACGTTTTACCTAATATTTTTTGTCCTTTAATTCTTATTATAAAACTGTACATTATGTATTGTTTCATAGATCTGAATGGAGCTTTGAAAGGTAACCTTTTTTACATACCAATAAATTAAGGCGCCACTACTTAAGTTGTAAATTACATTTTGTAATTCTATCCACCACATGTGCGTATACGTAAGTTAATATGTTTTATTGTTATGTCCAAATATTACTTTTTCATCCAATGTCGATGTTAGGTGTTCCATTTCCGATTTATATTTGTCTTTGTATGTACATGGGAAAGGAATTAATATAAGCTTTAAGCTTGTTTTCCCATCCCATAAGATTATGCGTACCTGTCTGTAATTAAATGCTTATTACTGAATAAAAATATTGTTTAAACTAACCGCCATATTCATCTTGATACGGTTCGAAACCGATTACGCGTCATTGGCCTAAGAGCCCGACGTCCCTATTGTTGGTCTCCTGCGCGTTGCCAACGCCGATTGGCTACACTCGCCCAGAAATTTTCCTATGAAGCAATGGAGACGGGTATTCTTCAGTGACGAATCCCGGTTCACTCTCTACCGTTCGGACGGGCGACGTCGTGTATATCGACGTCGAGGGGAACGTTAAACCGACGCGTGCGTCGCTGAGCGGGATAGGTTTGGCGGTGGTTCAGTATGTGTTTGGGGCGGTATCTCCTATGGGTTTAAATCACCCCTGATCGTGATTGACGGTAATTTAACCGGCGTAAGGTATAGAGACGAAATCCCTCGCCCAGTTACCGTGCCATGTGTGCAAGCACGGAACCTGATATTCCAGCAAGACAATGCCCGGCCCCATGTCGCTAGAGTTTGTAAGCAATTTCTTGCCAACAATAAAGTAATCCCAATCGATTGGCCAGCATTCAGTCCAGATTTGTCTCCAATTGAGCATTTGTGGGACGAATTGGATAGGAGACGTCCAAATGCCCCCACTAATCTGGTCCAGCTCACACGTGCCTTGCATGAAGAATGGAATAACATTCCCATTGCAAGGGTTAATACCCTGATGAATTCCATGCATAGAAGAATCAGGGCTGCGACAGCTGCGCATGGAGGGCACACAAGATACTGACATGTCCGGCCGTGTTGCGCAATACAAGTAGGGTCATCGCTAAAAGGGGGATATTTTTGGCAAAATTAGCATTGATAATCGATAGAACCTTCAACAGATGGTTCCAAACAGATGAAATTGTATACAAAAAGGAATGAAATAATGTAACATTAAATTATATAATTTAAAAGAATCTTGTTGTTGATGTCTCTATAGACCCGTCCTCATATTACCTATGTTGTTGGTGTCTCTATAGACCCGTCCTCATATCACCTATGTTGTTGGTGTTAAACAAAGTCATTCACGTAACCCTTTATGAATCGAAGTTCTTTCAGTCTAACCTTTTTGATGTATGAAGTTTTTACACGGACCATTAACTATGCTAATACAGTCATTGACACCTCATGATTCGAAGCTTTTTGGTAGTGCCGAAACATCGAAGTTTGACTGTATGTCTGATGGTTCCAGTTTCGTAAAACTGGTTTCTCAAAAGCTACGTCCGTAAAGAGGCTTCACTAATGCAGACAAACTTTGTTATAAACTATCCATTAATATTTGTTCACCTAAGTATACAAATGGTTAGTGTGGTGCGCAGTTTGCTCCCCCTCTGTCTAGGTTTTTGCCTCCTTTGGGTTTTCTTCGATCAAATCCTTTGCTCCGGTACATAGCGTCACTGACTGTGTTAGAAAGCCAAAACGGCTGTACGAGACAGCTTTATTCATTGCTCTACAATCTTATAACCAGTTTGTATTACATATGATATTTACCTTTGTGTCTTTTTGTAAAAACGCGTACCTTCAAACAATGACTGCATATATCTCCGGTGAGTTTGGCCAAATTATCGAATCTTATTACTCCCATTCAAATGATTTCAACATCTCAGGTCCTTAGCATAATCCTGTCCTCTACCTAGGAACGGTTGAGTGATGTATTTTCGTTCACTGTTTTACTGTACAGTATGTTCTATTCTAAATTTGTATATGTGGGCACTATGTATTTGTGTGCCTTCTGTACTGTACAGTGTTTACAACATACCATTACATCTCTATCGAAACGGAGCTGGAAACATAAATGTCACAACTCAGTAATAAAACGAAATGTCATCATATCAATTTGACAGATAAATGAACGACGACATTAGAGCTGGGGTTTCATGGACCTATCAGAAACGTTGTTTTATTACTGAAATACATAGACAATTCTCATAGTCCTATGTTTCATATGTTGCCATGGTAATTGACTTTGGAATTTATTGATGTTTCATATACATTCAAGTCAATCGTTTTCACGTTTGTTTCTATATTAAGACTATTTCTTGTAGAATGAATAATAAAATGCAAATGAATGACGAATAATTTTTATTTATTCAATTGATATTTGTATCAAGAACGACGTGTAAATTATTCTTCGTGAAGCAAGATCAACTGTTCAATTTACAGAGGTACTGAGCATAATTGTTTTAATAATATTTCTGTATGACATGTAGCTGTGCATATGCTCGTGATGTTACTTCCTCACGCCTACGTCAATCAAATCATTTCTTCTTTCTGCCAAGAAAAGCCAAATTAGGGACAGGGCCAGCGTGGGTATGACATCTGGTATCTTCTGGAGCTACGTACGGGTAGTTTGTTGCATGCTCCGGTGTCATCACATGCGTCTGAAAAAACATGTTGGTTTTGAAATTACACATGAATTACATGTATTTAGTGTGTGGCATATATATGTGTATGTGTGAGAGGAGGGGCTAGGTGGGGAGGGTGTGTGTGAGGGTGTGTGTGAGGGTGTGTGTGGATGAGGGAGGGTTGTGTGAGGGATGGTGTGTGTGAGGGTGTGTGTGAGGGTGTGTGTGGATGAGGGAGGGGGTGGGTGGGGTGTGTGGGTGTGTGTGAGAATGTGTGTGTGGGGAGGGTGTGTATGTGTGTGAGGGAGGGGGTGGGTGGGGGTGTGTGTGTGTGAGAATGTGTGTGTATGTTTGAGGGATGGGGTGGGTGGGGAGGGTGTGTGTGAGGGTGTGTGTGTATGTTTGGGGGGAGGGGGTGGGTGGGGAGGGTGTGTAAGGGTGTGTGTATGTGGGAGGGGTGAGTGGGGAGGGTTTGTGTGTGTATGTGTTGGGGAGGGGGTGGGTGGGGAGGGTGTGTGTGACTGAGAGATATGTGTGTGTGTGTGTGTGTGTGTGTGTGTGTGTGTGTGTGAGAAAGGTGTAAGATGTGTGTGTGAGAGAGAGGTGTGAGGGTGTTTGTGTGTGAGAAAGAGAGGTGTGAGGGCGTGTATGTGTGAGAGAGAGAGGTGTGAGGGTGTGTGCATGTGTGGGAGGGTGTGGGTTGGGAGGGTGTGTGTGTGTGAGGCGTGTGTGGGGGGGAGGGGTGGGTGGGGAGGGTGGGTGTGTATGTGAGAGAGGTGTGAGGGTGTGTATATGTGTAGTGGAGGGGGTGGGTGGGGAGGGTGTGTGTGTGAAAGAGAGAGAGGTGTGTGTGTGTGTGTGTGTGTGTGTGTGTGTGTGTGTGTGTGTGTGTGTGTGTGTGCCGCTTGATCATATTATTGAAAGGTAATACACAAGGACTAGAAAGATTAGTTTTTAATTTGCGAGTGAAAAGAACAGAAGGTGTATGTATTACCTTTTCTTTTTCTCTTAACCTTTCTAAAAATTATAATTGAACCGTAGTAAAATGTTAAAATGAACTTTTTATATTCATTTAATTACACGTGACCAGCTACTAACATATAATTAAATCCAGGATGAGCTTTTGTAACGATTAAACATAATTCATGGAAAATGTAAACGTGTGTGTGTGTGTGTCATCCATACTTAGTGTCCCTATATCATAACACATACTTATTAGAAATTCAATAAGAGGATTAAACCATTCTGTTGGAACCACACATACAGATTAACATCAAGCACGGCAAAGAATAGAAATGCATTGATAAATACCTCAGACTAAAATCAAACCTTAAAAAAACCTCGAATGTATCGAAATACAGCAGACCGTAACGGACGTTCAATATTTTATCGGCGATCAGGAATATAGAGAGAACACTACCTTTGGGAGCTTTGTTCATGTGACATCCCAGGCTTGCCAGGAAAATCACACTTGGCTTCGTTTTGAAGACTTCATGAAATCCTGCCTTTGTATTGTATATATACAACAGGAAAACCATTCATTTCTAAATATGCCACTTTAAGAAAACTACCGGAATCAGACAGCAAAGTAATGTCGGGTATTACATTTTGTAAATTGTGACAATCAAATTCGGTTCCCATACTCATTCAACTAATTGTTTTTAACTATGTTTAGATAACATCATTTTGTATTATGAGAAGGGTAACGTATATTGAACGTATGTAAAACAGATTCACTACACCAGAACTCATTAGCTTCAAAATATCCCCATATTTCAGCTTTATTTTTCCTTTTAATTTTTTGCGAAAATATTGCTTCGTGGCTTGTTACTTTAAATGTGAATACCTTTCGATAGGTTGCTTTAATAGGTTGCTTTGAATTTTAAGTGAATCAGCACCGTGTATGCTAATGACGCTACACCCACATAGACGATTTCATGAAACCAATATGAGAAAAAATATTTAAGGGAGGAAAGTGGGAGAGAGTCTGTCTAAAAAGGGGACATTTAATACGTCACTATGTCCAAATTGTACAACATATTTAAATGAGTTATTTGAATATGCAAATTGGATTTTACTCTATATTTCCGGTCTTCGCTTGATCAAAGACTACATATTATAAAAAAAGTAATACACAAGGACTAGAAAGGGTAGTTTTTTAATTTGCGAGTGAAAAGAACAGTAGATGTATGTATTACCTTTTCTTTTTCTCTTGACCTTTCTAAAATCTATAATTGAACCGTAGTAAAATGTTAAAATGAGCTTTTTATAAGAGATCACACTTGTGTAATGTATAGTATATATATATGTGTGTGTGTGTGTGTGTGTGTGTGTGTGTGTGTGTGTGTGTGTGTGTGTGTGTGTGTGTGTGAGGGTGTGTGTGTGTGTGTGTGTGAGGGTGTGTGACTGTGTGTGTGTGTCTGTGTGTGATAAATAGCCTAGAAGTAGATGAATTTGTTTAAGAAACAATTGTTGCGCACTTATATAAATCATGTCACCAAAATCGATCTTGCCTCGATTGTGTAATTAAATACATATGTGTAAAGTACATATAGTGTTTTCTGCTCTGAACGTGTAGCGCTGAGCTTATGGCATTTTTCATATGTTGATTATAAAAATATGTTATGAAAATACTAATTCACCGTTGAACTAATTTGCTAGAAAGTGACAGTGCTTTATACATTACTACACCAGTTGTAGTTCTGGTATAATGACTTTATCGCATCTTCGGTAAATGTGCCTATTCATCATTGAACTTATTTGTTTACAATTGATATCACGCAATGAGTATATTGCGCCAAACCAATTGCGTTTACTATACATACACATGCAAAGGCTCGTAATAACAATGGAGCTTGACAGATAGCGAAAGTCACTAAACTTTACCACAAGGACGCCGGATGTTTGGTCTAATGACTGATGAAGAAAGATTACTTTAAAAACTTACATTCACTGCTGCACCTTCACCAATACCAAAATGATAGTGGATCGAGTTATCCAAGGCTGTCTGGAATTTTGATCGCACTGAGGGATTTGTCCAGTTCCAAGAATTAAACATATGTTGAACATCTCTAGGATCGGACGATAACGTGTTGTAGAGAGGAAGACTTAAACATGAGTCAAGGGGCATGCGCGGGTAGTAAGCGATGAAGGACAGGCACATCTCCTCTTGGGTAGATAATCCTCCCTGAAGTAAAAGAATAGTGGCGAGTGGTTCACTCAATATATATCTTACACATCTACAATGACAACCATTTGTATAGTTACAATCATCAGTCTGTTTGTAAGCATTTTGAGGCGGTGTCAACGTCTACCAAACAAAACGGCACACAGGAGTTCCGTCGCATGCTTTTCAAAGTATTAAGAGTGATGACCACAGCCCTGACAGCACAGACTTATCTGTGATATCAGCTTCCTGATAAATACAAACCCATCTGAACAGGGTTCGAATCAGGACACCTCGGATATTCCTCTCAGGTTGAACACGATCCGATGCTCTACGGACTAAGCTGTAGCGATCTTTGTGATCTGTGGCATGGTTGGGTGTCACAGATGATCCATCGTCCTCAATCTACCCTGTCCTTTACATACATATGATCGACATATAACATTTATTTTCGCGTGTGTGCTTTTCTTTCCGTTGTATTGTTTTATCTAAGAATTTTTATGACACGGAATTAAGCTTTTCCAACATGCTACGGTTTTCTTTAAAGAGATATGAAATGAAAAGCTAGTATCACTAGGATTTTTACCATTTCAGGTTGCACTATCAGTTAAGTCAGCATTGAAAATGTTATGATTAAAATATACAGGTGCCTGAGCATTCCATGTCAACAATGAACCGTGAAATCTCCTATTTTTTAGATTTCATACACGAAGCATTTTCAATGTTTTGTCCTAGAAATAATGGCAATAAAAACCACACAATATCGATGTAAACAATACATCTAAATTATTTTGTATACCAACAATAGTGAGTGCCTAAATCGGTGGTACTCTTACCACTTACCAGTGTTAGTCTCCGTCTGTGACTGGAATCGTAAACACATTTCACTTCAAGTTTATCTCCCTGCAAAATTAAAACGATATATACAGACAGCATACAGTTTTTAACTGGCCTTTCTTAACATAGTTGAATTATTTGAATAATGATCTGCCGGCAGTAGACATTAAGAAACAAGAATAGCCTATGAGAGCCGTATCCTTATATGTTGCTCAACAACAGTTGAAAATCGGAAAAGCTTCTATTCCCAACACCGCGATAAGGCGTCCCGTAAGCTACGCAAAATATCTTCGTTAAAACATTTTTTTTCCATATCTGAATTTACATACAGGGAGCACAGTCTTCATTTTGGGGAGGTAGCGCATGTCTTGGAAATTGAAGTCGTAATGTTTATCCGCTGCCAAGGGTTCGAGCTCCCTTCCATTTCGGTAGTGACGTGTGACCATTTGTGTCCCTAGGAGATGGGAATGTTGAACCATGGCGAACACGTTAATACCCTCTGATGGTACTCCCTGTCAAAAACCACGAGTTGATGAAGAAAACATTCTTTACGGTACATGTGCATCAATGAAACATTTTCGATTGTGAATTTTCATTTTCTTAGTAGTAACATTCTCTGTGAGTTTGAATTTAAACCAATAGGTACTAGTCCCTTCAGAGATTCATATTTTTTGTGATAATGTCAACAAAAATGTCGGTCAAACTGATTTAATTTTTAAAGAATACATATTATTGATGTGATCTTAATATACATCTTCGTCTTTTACCAGGATATTTATCAATGTGGTATGAGATTCGACTTTAAGATCATATCATGAATTTTAATCAAATTGTCCTACCGTAGGTTAATGGAAGTTTGTATGTCATTTCTTAAACGTTTTGATATAAAAATAGACAAGTCATAAAGTTTGGTACTGTGACATAGGCTACTTAATGTGTTGGACAAATTGATAAAGTTCTATTGCTCTCTGAATTAATTTTGGACTCTTAAACGTACCCGTGCGTCCCATCCTTCATTAACTTCAGCATGGCTTTTTTTCACTTACCGTGCTGAGAATTTCAGAAGGACAATACCCTTGTGAGACAAATGCGTCCTCCATAGGGGGTATAACTTGTTTATCACTAACGGCTATTCCGATTTGAAGAAGTCCGGCGTCGTGTGTTCGGAGTGTTGGTGTCATAGTGATTCGGATACCGGAACTGTCGACAATGTCTAGAATGGATTCAAATGAGCATGTTACGTGACGAGAAACAAGAGAAATATGCTGAGTTCCTAATAATTTCACATCAGAAACATAATTTTGTTTTGTTTTGATTTTTATGGGGGAGGGTCTTCTTTCACTACAAAAATGTCCTTGGATGACTAACTCATCACACGTGCACACTATCTTTCATTGACCTTGACATGCTATCAGGATGCAAACTTCAAACACGTGATGTGTACACATTTTATCAAGATCAAGTGTTCTGTTTTCTTGTATAAAAATAGATGAAATCGTCATTGAGGATTAAATCTTTAATTTTATTTTGCTTTACAAATGTGCAGAATAAGGGGATACTTAATAACTGCCACTTCCTGTAACAATGTTGCACTTTTGCATTTTATCTCGTGTAATATAAGATTTTGTGACGTCAAAATTAGATGAAATAATAAAATAAAGTCACAATTGCAAATTACATGGTGGCGTTCAGGCCCCAGCTGCCCGAAGCTTGATAAGAGGTAACAACAGCTTAGCGATTTTTTTAATTTGCTGCAACTTTAGAAACAAGGAATTTCAAAAGTGTGTTATCTGAGGTATTTCTCAAAATAATAGATACCTTTCGAATTAAATTCAAAAGCATTTTTTTCTCTGCCAGTCATGCGACTTTTAAGCCTTTGACATTATTGCCGGTCTGTGAAATCTTAAGTAGTTGATTTCAAGTGTCGACGTTAGATTCTGCTTTGAATAGATATTGTATCGATGAAAGGAAATATAGGATAAAAATATATTATCACGTATCAGACGTATGTTTCTTTTACTCTAAATTTGGAAGAAAACACACAAACGAGATAAAGTCACAGTACGTACATGAATTTAGAGGTTCATCGATTCACGAATCCGTTTAAACTTACATATGAACTGATTGTGAGGCTAGGTATATGGAAAAAAAACTGCAGTAGTGTTAGAGATTGTACGTCACATCATGAAATAGTTTTACTGATTAACATTGCTTTTACCGAAGACCGAAAGTAGATAGGATAACGAAAATTTGGAAAGAAGAGAGTAATCATAACCGACCCCAGATATGGCTACACGAAGGACAGCTATCAACCACGTGACAAAGGAGAGTGGAAAATCTAATTATGTAAGAAGTTTAAAATATATTACACCGTGACGGGTATAAGATACTGTTTATCATACAGCATGTTTGGGCAGTATATTTTTTTTCGATACGTAGACAATCATGTGACGTCATCAAGACGTGATTTATTAATGACGTCTTATTTGTGGTGTTGTAATGTCTTACGCACCATATCGCATGACACATCAGGCAAGTTGTGTGATCGAGAGAATTCGAGATTCATCTCTATACCGTCTCAAAGACAGATCTTCACGATGTAAACTAGCATACCTGCTTTAGCCGTTGGATTGTCGTAATGTGTCTCCATGACGAAGAAATCGGGGTCGACATCTGTGCCGAGTGAGTACCCGGCATTCGGAGGGTAGTAAAACGCCTATAATTACAAATTGACAAGAAAATAGTGCAATACCATTCTTCTATCTGAGCTTCAACGACGCTTTATAGGAAATACCTCGACAAAAAGCGTAAGGAGATGTGCTGTACCACCAGAACTTAAGCAGGTAAACGAAAAGTGCTGTCCTTATGAAAAGGTAAGAAAATTGCTTGTTTAAGTAAACACAACTCCATATACATTAGATCAGTACTGGAATTACCGTAGAATACCTATTTTGGTGACAATGTTTTTGCACAGTGGAAAGAAACTGATGATAGCGCATTGAATATTAAAATTTAAAAAAAAAAATCATTTCAAATATTGGATTACGCTGTACACTGCTACGCTGTGGCTCAAAATATTAAGTATGCAAATTCATTGGTTACAATCCAAAGCAGCTCAAACATAATTATATAACTAATTATAATTCTGTTCTAGGTTCGTCATATATTCTTTAATTCAAATTCATTCTTTCAACGTACTTTGCCTCCAATAGCCCAGGCAATCACCACCTCACTCAAGCAACCGCGTAGAGCTTGCGGTACGTTTCCGGAATGATCACACCGGAAGGTTGTGCCATCATATGAAGCCAGTTCAGCAGCCCTTTTGTCACATTTAAAGATGAGCACGTGGTGCACATGTAGTTCATTTCCGGGTGTTACAACTGGTTCATACTGCGGAAAAGTATACGTACTTATCACGCGCATAGTCTTCTTTTGTAAACATATTAAAAAAATTGATTGCGCTTTGAAGAAAATACAAACATATTTTTGGCATTATTTTCGATACTTTTCTATACATGCTTTATAAATTTGTTTAGATAAAATCATATAAATGGATAAATATGATAAATTGATTAATAAATTTCATTTCATGTTGAATTACCCATTTATTCAGAAATGATCACGTGACGTGCATATTACTGTATTTACCTTAATCAGGTGATGTTTTGAGGAAAGGCTGGGAAACTTAAAAGCTCGACATGAATAGGTTGTCGTGTCAGAGGTAACATGCAACTGTTGATAAAGAATTATCAATTTTGATTAGAAACATAAAGATGGCTTACGAAAACATTGTTTATAACAAGAAAACATGTTTACATTAAAAATAAATCTAATTTTTCAGATCTGGTTCTGGACTTAGGAAGTCTGTTTGTTTTGCTTAATGCGTTTATCGCCCATGAATAGTCAGGGTTAATTAAGTGCTGTAGAGTGCAGCTTACATATTGAAAGTCGTTCGAGAGGCACAATAACACAACAGACAGAACAAAACGGTCGGTGATCTCGGTTTCCTGAGAAACACATACCATCACAGATAAGGATCGAACTACACACCTCAGATCTTCAACTGAGAAACACATACCAATACAGAGAAGGATCGAAGCACACACCTCAGACCTTCACCTGAGAAACACATACCATCACAGATAAGGATCGAACTACACACCTCAGATCTTCACCTGAGAAATACATACCATCACAGATAAGGATCGAACTACACACCTCAGACCTTCACCTGAGAAACACATACCATCACAGATAAGGATCGAACTACACACCTCAGACCTTCACCTGAGAAACACATACCATCACAGATAAGGATTGAACTACACACCTCAGATCTTCAACTGAGAAACACATACCAATACAGAGAAGGATCGAAGCACACACCTCAGATCTTCACCTGAGAAACACATACCATCACAGATAAGGATCGAACTACACACCTCAGATCTTCACCTGAAAAATACATACCATCACAGATAAGGATCGAACTACACACCTCAGACCTTCACCTGAGAAACACATACCATCACAGATAAGGATCGAAGCACACACCTCAGACCTTCACCTGTGAAACACATACCATCACAGATAAGAAATAGGAAGTTATTAGTATAATGATAACTTATGTGGCAGGAGCAGACAGAAATAAGTGTTAGCATAATGAAATCTCACATTGTCATGGAGAAAATCAAATGTGACCGTGTCGGAGGGAATATGGACATCATCGGCTGTCAGAGAAGAAGACAACAGCATGACACTCTTTGTTCCACGTCTGGTGGCGCCATGATACGGGATATAACTCGTCACATCATCGGGATGGTAAGAGAAAATGATTCGAGTAGTGTCATCCTGTTTAAAATGCGGAAATGTGACAAAAATAAAAAATATATATACAAATACGACAAAAAACATACATTAAAAAGTTAATGGAGATGATACATGTTCATATATATATAGTTTTACATGTGTAGCGTCATTGATCTTTTTCAAATGAAAAAAAAAAGAAAAAAAGATACGACATCAAAGTGGAACAATGCACACTTCTATCAAATGATGAAATTGTAGCGTTGTTTAGCTCTGGTAGAACATACCGTGATCACCATATCTCCAACACTATCACATGTGTTGAGTTTGCGCACAAAGGTAAGGACGGTACCGGAAGCAGTTTCCTTGCCAGCGATTAGGAACCAGTCTTGTGATTGGTCGACTATCGGTGGTGCATGCTGGGTAGTATGGTAGTCCTGTGAAACGAAACCAATCATATTATTTTTCTGTAAACTCATAAAAAAAAGGTTAGAAAATGCAGTTAGGGAAAATCTAAAATTAGATACATTTAAAAATACATCTCATTACATGTTTTACGTCCAGGCCATATCGGAATTTATCTTTAACAAGACATACAAGTAACGCACCTTTGAAAGAAGGGAATTACATGTCACCTTACAACTGTTGACCAGGAAGGGGAGATTCATTTAGTCAAAAAATGTTCTCTGTTGGTACATGGTTCGTTTGGATTTGTCTTTTCTATTCTATCCCAAGGGTACAAACTGGGATGGAGATGTCACTTTTAGCTCATAAACCTATATCGTAAACGAAGACTTGTAACAGAGGGAGTAGTGTAGACGATGAAAGTACATACTACCTTACTGGCCTCAAATAGTGCAAACTTCCCATATCTTTTTTAAGTTGTATTGTTTGCCCTTGGGAGTTGAAATGGAGAGGCCGTGCTAGTTTCATCCCAAGCTGTGTCAATATGAGGCTGCACGGTGGGGACACGTTAAACAACATGGTGAAATCTGACTTGCTAATCTATGTAAATACTGCTCACCATTTTCTGTACTCGGATTTATTTAATCGATAATACATGATCTTGAAACAAATTAGAAAGCCAGTTTGTAAGGTATTATATTCACGTACATGTCTTTTTTACAATCCGTTTACGTTGTAAAAGCACTGAGGAACTCGCTGTGACATTGGCTGATTTTGAGTTGGTCTGACCGTCCGTACTTTCGTCCATTCTAAACCAATCATGACATACCTTGAAGTAGGTTTGACCGTCCTTGACCCCGCCTATGATGACGTCAGCAGGAAACATCTTTCCGTTCGATGAGATTCCAAATCCAACATAGCCGTGAGTATTCACGTGTGTCTCAAAGGTCACGTGAGTGTCATTGGTGGTCCAAAATAACCAGTAGTTGCCCTCAGAATCCAGCTGAGCATAATGCTCAAAATGGCGGGTCGGCGTCGGTTTTGATACCTGTAAAATTTTCATCTTTTAAAATTGTTTTCGGTAAATAAAACACAAAAATATTATACTAAAGTGCTACACATACATCAAGTGTCAGACAGACAGACGAGTTTAAAAAGTTGTCCTTGTAAAAATAATCCAACATTTTATTATTTTATTGCGATGTTTCAAATCTATTGCATGTTTGTAATTTCAGTTTGAAGCCATTTCAAATTTTCCGCAATTTGCAAGATTACGAAAACAAGTGTGCATTATAAAGCACCATTTTCTAACTTAAATATATTTAAATAAGGCAAAATCATTAGATTTAGTTAAAATTTAATTGTCGAATATGTGAAAAATGTGTAGTGTCACTGATTTCTGGTTCGTCACTAGTAAAACTAACAGCCACCACAGTAATGTTCTGATTGATTGTGCGATTACAGTGTGTCTTATTTTAACAATCGCTCATTTGATAAATGTAAAAATCTAAGGTACAAGTTTGTGTCATCATTTCACAATCGATAGTATGACACACTCAGAAAATAGTTCATAGGTATTTTTAAAGTCACAACTAACCACCCACATGACAAGTACTGATAAATGTAGATGTATACAAACATTTCCTTTCGTCTTTTATCTATAAAATGATTTTTAGGATCTGTTATCTTTTATCTAGCTCTTAACACTTTAAAATGACACATTTGTGACGAATTTCTTAAATTGTATATCAAATGTTAACGAATTTTAGATCCTGTTTATCTTATGATCGATTATCAAGGCATAGTTTGGATCTTTCCATTGAATGCAATACAATCTGTTACGTCAATTCTAGTGAAATTCACTGAATAAGAAGATATTCGCGTGACAAATGAAATCATTACCCAAGTATATTGACAGACTGAATCAGGAAATCACGTGATAAATTTCAATTAAAAATGGTAATATTGGATTTTACCTCCTGGGCGTTCGAACTCCTAACTTCTCTTTCTTTAACGAGCTCAGCAAGCCTCACATCATCAACGAAATCAATTGCGTGCACAAATGACAAAGCCAGCAGACTGACCACAACTGGCAGGTTCATGATGTCCATCTTCTCTCTCGTGTATGTCGGTGACCAAACACTTATATAAGAACCTAATCACCTCGGTCGCACAGGAATGTAAACCTTCGTTATCTCTCAGAGTCAGAAAAGAGGGTCTCGTTACTGTTGATGTGATTCAGAAACACTCCAAAGATAGGTAAACACTCATGGAGATTTCAGAACATAGTTTGCTTTAATTCCAAACTTGTTGACTATTGTTAAGTAACACGAAATGAGATGGTACAAACGAGTATATATATGAGGCTTTCAAAACTAGATTGGCATAATGCTTGTTTTGTGTTGCATGTTTAAGAATTAGTGTTATCGCTCATTTAGCTGTGGAGAAAGAATGTGCATGCTTTGTTTGACTGCACAACTCAACAGTGGTCTAATTTATGACCTCTGTGTAGAATGCTCGTGTTGATTTTCTTTGTGTTACTCTCAAGAGACACTTAAGAGACCAAAATGGTCTTGATGTTGTAAATATATATTTCTTTAAGATTAAGACGAATTAAATCTTGTTGATAACACGATATTTGGTTGAGTTTAATTATTTATTGAGTATAGTACAAGAATATAGTAACAAACCAATTAGTGGTTGTGAGTGACCTCATAAAAATAGTTCCACTTCCGGATCACGTTAGTGACGTCACCTAAATCGTTCTCAGAACGTGTAAGAAGCACGTGTGGTTTGCCTCAACCCTATGGTGAGTCAAGGAAAAAGAGGAAAAAATGGATTTGCTTGTCCGGAGTTAGAGAACTACATATCTCATCTTTTCCTTTCTCATGATTTTTAATGCACTGCTGTCCCTATTCCATAATCTAAGCGGTGACTTAACATGGAATCGGGTTATCTCTTACAGGTACAAATATAGCCTACCGCGATGGGAAAATCTGAACACGTTTAAGATATATTTTTAAGTTACATGTAGTTGTATTGACATGTAATCTGTCTATTTGATGATATAACCGGATGGGATGTAATGCTGACGTGTAGAGATTATGAGAGTTCAGTGTGACCTGACCCTCATTACCAGCTGGCACCTCATTTTGTAATCTAAGCTGTAGTGAGGAAGTAGTTCTACAAATCAAACTGTTCAAATATGATGGGAAACCTAAAGTAGTGGCACGAAAATTATTTTGATGATAAGACTGGAAACGAAAAGAGAGTCAGAAAACGTAATTTGTCTCAACAAGGTGTAAAATACATATAATTGCTGTCGTTGTATTTGTTTCATAGGTGCGAAATATAAAAAAACGCTTGATTATTATTATCTAAAATCAAATATATATCTCGGCTTGATCTTTTTTATATGATCCTTATCGGCTTCTCAAATACAGTGACGTAAGCGTTATGTTTTGCATTACCTGGATGTGCACCTAGTATTACTTGGGATAAATGTATCTTCTGAGAAAAAGTACGCATGTGCAGGTTAGTCTTCATCTTACTTCAACATCAGACGTCCGATATTCTTGACCAATGATGCATGACTTCATCATGACGTCAATGAAGCAGAAGACGATAATTTTCTAGAATACATGTATTTAAAATCTTCCTTGTAAGTCTCTGTTTTGTTCATCTTTTGTCCTAATTTCATCGAACTGCGGTTTGAGAGAAGAAGAAGAAGAAGAAGAAGAAGAAGAAGAAGAAGAAGAAGAAGAAGAAGAAGAAGAAGAAGAAGAAGAAGGGAAGAAGAAGAAGAAGAAGAAGAAGGAAGTAGGAGAAGAAGAAGAAGAAGAAGAAGAAGAAGAGAAGAAGAAAGAAGAAGAAGAAGAAGAAGAAGAAGAAGAAGAAGAAGAAGAAGAAGAAGAACAACAACAACAACAACAACAACAACAACAACAACAACAACAACAAAATATATAATTCCAACAACTGGTTGAGTTGAATTTTATTCTGTACACTTGCAAATATGAAGACGTTTAAAACGGTTCTAGTTTGTTTTTTTTTTTTTTTTTTTCAAAATCATCTCTTTTTTTTTTGTCAGGAACAAAGACGCATTTACCTAGTAATATGTGAATTCATTCTGATAAGCTTGGATGACTAGTTATCACGAGAGTATTATTTTGACACGCATTGATCTCCAAAGGTCATACACTTGTGGATACCCACTAACGACACGAGAATTCAGGGGAGAATTAACCTCAGACATCCGTTCACCTCATGTTCACGTGATAGATTGTATCTTGTGTGACGAAATATTTAATCGTAATTGTGAAATGATGCTATTGTATCAAATGCTTGTCAAAATTTTATATCCATAAATATATTTTTTATCAATCAAGTTTTGTGCAATCCCAATTATAAAATTTGTACCAACAACGTTATATAATCTGATACAGTAAATAAAGCATTTTTGTAATGCTACAGTCGATTTTGTCTCCGTGTTCGTGTACCGCGCGTGGCCAGACGTTTGGTATGTGACCACTCAAAGTTCCCACGGTCACCATGAACCGGAAAGAAAAAAGGCGGCCGATATGGAAATATAATGATTGAAAACATTAACTATCAAATCAGTACAGGAAAAGAGTGCTCATACATTGGAAAAAAAATCGATGTACATATGAATTCACTTCGTAATAAGTCTTCGTAACAAATATCGCAGGTCAATTTTCTGTGTAACCCGGAACAATCATTAGTACGTATAAATGTAAGAATTTATCAGTTAACTTTATCTATTTACTTTTCACTCAAGATTAGATAAAACATAATTCCATAAAGAGTATATAATAGTATATAATCATATAATAGATACGTTGAAACCTCATTTGTATCCGTGCATTATGAAACGAATGTTACTAACATCGAGTTAGCTCCCTTTGTCCATGAAAATACACACAAAAATATGACTTTCTTAGAAAGAGAAAGTCTATTATTTCACTTTGAGGACGTGTTTTCAATGTTATAGAGGATGTCGGATTCATATCCCCGTTGAGAGTGAGACACGTGTTTTCCCACTGTAATGATAACAGGTAATGTAGCAAAACAAAGATCCAAGGCGACGCCTTCCAAGATTATATCAGAAAGCGATGTATGAGAATGGCGGTTTGGAATAAATGTGTGTCAGTATCATAATATCGACAACTGGCATTATGAACACGTCACTTTTACTATGGAATGTGTTTAACAGCCTCTAAAATATTCAATTAGTCGAAACTGCAGATACCTATACTCTTTGTATAGGTACACACCATATATACATACAGCAATACGTTTTTTTCAAAAATTGCAGATTGCCACGTTTTTTAACATTCTAATTCTGTCCTAATACGTCTTTATAAATTGAACACTGTGTATTACTGAAATATCCAATTTCTTATCAACTCGTTTTTCCCTAAGCATCAGTCGCCCATTCGAGCAGTGACGTACCACAATTAGCATTATCTTACAACAGGCAAGATGGAAAATAATTTGAATACCGGCAGAATAATACTGACCATATATTTCTGTAAGTTGTAGGATTTACCATGTAGTTATCACGCTAAATTACGAAATTTGTGAAGTGATTCGTGGTGTCGAAAAATTATGTGTTATATGATATGTTAACAATACCTGTTCAAAATGGCGAAAGAATCATGAAATATAGAATATATAACAAAGTCAGCTTCATACATCAGATGTCATAAATATCTAACGAAATGCCAGATACATTTGATATAATTATCAAATCATTCCCCCTGTTTGGAACTCTTTTATAATTATCAACAATATTGGTCCCTTTTTCACTGGCCTTAACACAATTTAGTTCGATTAGGAAGGGACAATAGCCTTTGAGATTATTCCGAGATATTTCCTATTCTCATATTTGTGTAATAATTCAAAGTCTGGTTTTCTTGACGATAAATCATGTCCAACTTGCAAACTCTCAAAAACGGTTATAATTAACATATTAATTGGATAATTTTATCTAACATGAACTAAAGTAACGTTGAAATATTGATTTGATGTATAAACATCTTTAGATATAAATCTAGTTAATATGTCAGTTGATTATAAAGCTGACAAATTGGAAAGTATTGAACTACATGGTGGTTTGTATTGATTTCTAGCACGCATATGACTCACGCGGTTCAAAATGGCGGCCGAGTCGTATATCATTCGGAATAATTTCTATCAAACATCTTTTACCCCTCCCGAGTGGTAGCATGACAGTTTATCGAAGTCCCAAATCTCAGCCGGGGTATATGAGTTACTTTTTCCCATCCCAGTCACTATTTATCGATTTTTTATCTCAGATCTATCATATTGGCATTAAGATTCTCATTTTTCATCATTCGGGGAAAATACGGCCTGCTACAGAAATGATTAATTAGCTCTCCATAACCCTTACTTTGGTGTTTGTGTGACGTGGTTCGTGAGGATTTTTCTTTACAATTGATTTTAAATGTTTTGGTGGGGTCGACCTAGATTGGGCTTCCGCTCCTAAACAATGCATTCTCACGCATGCACTGCTATGCCAGGTCCCTGCGCGTGTCCACATTGAGATTTTATCGAGATAACGGGAGTCTGTAGCCTGCATTTATAATGCTCTATTAAACAGAAGATAGCTGCTATTGTAGTTACATGTAGTACATATATATCACGTTTCATATATGTCTCTAAGTCAATGCTGCAATTATTTAAAATTTCAAAATGTCAGTGATACGTGTATGTAACACTAGGTAAAACTTTGTTGGTGTTTTTTTTTTCTAAAATAGATATCTTTGAACAAGTACATGATATGTATGTGTTTGAGTTAGATATACTTAATAGTTCATGTTATCCTAACCTCTCTGCAATACGGAACTCTCAGTAATACGCAAGTTGAACTCTCTGTAATCCGGAAATATACATAATTCGGAATTCTCAATTATCTGAAATTTTCACGACTCTTTAATCCAAGTTACACTTTAATCCAAATTTCCCTGTAATCCAGCACTTCGTTCAATCCGAAATAATTTTCCTTTTTCTATTAACCTAAAACCGACCAAATTGTCATTTGTTCAAATGGGCATGGTATATTGACACACACACAAACACATACACACATATATATACAGGTTATTCTAGAGAGCGGATTCTGGCATTCGTTAAGTGAAGTTAGCCAGCTATGCTTACTTGTTTGGAGTTTCCTGTCATTTCAACTAGTTACTAATCAATACGAAATTCTGATTATTGAAACTGACAATCAACCGGATGCTTGTTATCCGGTATGCTTTCAATTACTCGGCTGGACTGTTCCGATCAAATCGTCTTTGATTTAAAGGGATTCTATGGCCTATAGAAAGGAAATTATTTCGTTAAGTGAAACATTCTTTTTGGAAATCGTTTCCGTTCCTTGAATACATTCACGAACCGTTGACTATTTGTGATGATAGGATTGAAATAGCTGTCTTTCCTATAAGCCGAAAACAGGTATTCCGGATGTTCTATATATTTTGGCAACCATACTTAGCGAGTTTTCAAAGTATTGTCAAAATCAAAATATTTCCCTATGAACGCCGTGATAAACAAATTGCCAAACATATTCAGTTAGGAGAATCCAGACACCCAAGTACCTGTCCTGTAACGTCAGATCATTCTGTGGATCTCGAAGTTACGCACCAGCTGTCAACATTGTTTCACGTACCAAGGTATAAAAGAACAAAGAACGTGATTTGAGATTACAAATAAAACTTATTTATTTCGATGAAAGTTTAAGTAAACACAATAAAGATAAAAGGATGTTAATTTATTGATCAGTTATGTACATTTACACATTCCTTCCGAACAATTCTTTTTCAATTAATCGTGAAAAATCGTCAAATACACAAAAAACAGTTTCTTTCCCAAATAAATCATTTGATCGGTTCAGTATTTTAAGAGAAACTTGTCGAAGTTGAAGTTTTACGTAAACAAGATGTATTTCAATAAAATATACAAACTTAGTATTTACATTAATAAATTAACAATGAGCACTAATCACGGTCGTAATTAATTAAAACATCACTCAACCGTGGAAGCGATCGAATCATTTTAGTAACTTTCACTATTGTGTGAATTCATATTGTTTCCATTTCCTAAAATGCACAAAAAATGTTTTCGATATATCAATAATTATATATAATTGTCAAGTGGAAGTTTTTTAAAGCTTTCACGCCGTTTTTTTTTTTTTTTTTCTGGTAACATGACCCCAGCGTCATTTCATTTTTCTTGATTATAAATTTAGGGGACTTAAACGTAGCTCTAATTTCAGTACAAATTTCGGTACCTAAAGCGCGATATTGTATAAACAAAAAAGATCAGACTTTAATTTTATTAAGTAGAATTTGTTTAGAATTTGTTGCAGTATATCGTGATTTCAGATTCAGATTCACTTAAGACATTCAGTCTACCGCCATTTTTGTTCTCAACGTGATGATAAAATCGTGATCACTTCTACGCTTGAATCGCCAAACATATACATAAGAAAACAATATAAATATCAACAGAGCACTTCAACATAAATAAACAACAGTAAACATTTGTCTCTCTCTGACCCTAATGAACTTGTTCAAATCGTTGGACAAGTTGATTCCGGGTTTCGAGGGATATAAGGAGATTTGTTCCTACTTAAAACGCAAATTAAACACTACAACATCAAACGTTTGTAGGAAATCTCAACCATACAGCTTTAACAATGGATATTAAATGTCCATATCGAAAGTGTGACAATCCGAACTTACTCAAAAAGTTGACTAAGTCGACAGGGGGTTCTTGATAACCACGTGTCACTGATTTGGCTCCATAAGATAGCGAGGTTTGGATTCAAATGCAATATTTGTCAAGCCTCAATTTAGATATTGACCAATGAAAACTCCCCAGAGGGTGTAAAATAAACATACTCGGGTTTTTACGTTGGTTTATATCTTAGTTCACCCCAACATAAACATTGGTGTAACGCCTTTAATACGAATTGTGACAATTTAAGTCTACGTAATCGTCCGAGGACACGACATGGTGTTTCGACCTTCGGAAAACTGCATCATAATTTACTACATAAAACCTGTTCAAATTAGGCGAAATATTGGTGATAGCCAAACATGTGTTGTAGTCTCTTTTCTGAAGACGCTTAACAAAAAATATAATACTTTTATAATCAAGACCCTACATGAAAAAAGACTACACGAAAATATAGCTGATGGTCGAGAAATTCCCAAGTGTTCAATTATCTGTCCGCCATAAGACGCATGCGTAATTCAATGAAAACCATAGATTAATTTTTTAACATATAAAGCGAAATGGCAACGTCATTACAATATCACGTGACATTCTATGATAAGGTGTGCATTTCTTGAGTTTATCCGTGACGTCTTGAGAGCGACCATAAGCCATCCGTCTTTAAAACAGTGTTCTGGTATTAAGATATGTAACTTAAGATGGCTGCCATTTTTGCTCTCCGTCTGTCATTCGATTTACATCTGGAAAACGTCACTTCCTACGATCGCAAAACAGATTTATCAAGCAATGTCACTGTTACGTCATGCAGGGCATTCCTTTTCTTGGCTGTTCATTTTGTCCATACACAAATATAAAGAACCCGTCCCACTAGTTACCAGAGTAAGCTGTATAAAGAGACAAAATTATGATGACGCAATATTTAGACCACGTTTTCTGTTGACGTCATAACAGGAACACAATTTCATCACAACATATTAGTCTGCGCACATTTCTAGCGTTGTCATAGAAGGAACACCAATCACGTTTAACGATGTAGAATAAGATACATATCCGGTGACGTCATAGCAGGAACACGAATTTACGATGACGTCAGATAGCACAAATTTCCCAGTGATGTCATAGCTATTTCACCACTTACAATGGCCAGTTTTATATACTATAGTACACAATTACCAGTGATGTTATACAGTAAATATGACTTACGGTTACGAACTCCATTTTACACATTTTTCAGTGATATCATAATCGCAGGAACACACATTACGATGGCGCGTCATAGAGTGCACATTTTCCAGTGATGTCATAATAGGAACACCAAATACGATGACGTCTAATAATTTTATGAAATACGATGTCGCTTTTCACATTACAGATGGACCAATAAGTTACAGCAGGAACAAGATCTACGACGACAGGTTTGCTGGTGCACATCTTTGTGAGATATAGGAAAACGAATCGCGGTGTCACGGTTAACAATTAATAAAATCCATTAAATCCACTGTAGGAATAATATTGTGTTATTCCTCCACAGAACGTGAATACACATTGACATATCGACATAATCACTTAGCAGAGCTAGTCTTTACGATGACACTGGAGTTGGTACCACAAACAAAAATGGGTGACGTTTCCGTGAGTATTTCTTCTGCATGTTGATTACCTCGGAATAGTTATGTTCCAGGCGTTCCGACTGACTCTCCAGCTTATCTTTCAGACCGTTCAGTGTCTGTAACAGAACTTCTTTCCGCTGTTCCGACATTTGCTGTTTGAATCGAAGCTTCTCCTGGAGTCGGATTTTCTCTGCTTCCTGTGCTTCCCGGATTTTCTGCTCGACAACCATTTTCTCCAGTCGAAGTTGCTTCACTTTTTCTTCCAGACTTGATCTTACCTCGGAGAATGTTCTGCTTGTAGGGGCGTTACATTTTCGCAAGTCGTTGGCGAATTTCTCGTATGTGTCGGTAGTTGATCCTTCGTCGTCAATATCTTTCTCGTGATTCTTTTTCTCCTCCGTCTCATCCTCCTCTTCCTCCTCCTCCTCCTCGAAGAATGTGCTGATATCTGTGGTTGATCTAATACTCCGTAATTTCTTCTCCGTCGTGTAACTATCAGAATCAGAATCAGAGCTTATTCGACTGTCTCGGCTCAAACTGGAATATCCCGCATCAATCGAATCGTCCATATTGCACATTTTTACATGGAATGCATTTTCATTTGACATATGATCTCCATCTAAGGGAGATAAATCCTCGTAATTGTCTCCGTTTTCTGACTCCGTGGTAGCGCCGATTTCCGATTCCGTCATAACACTAGATTCACGAGAAGATGACATTTCAGCCACGCTAGAAATATCTTCTGAACTCGTCATTGAACTTTGGAGACTGGAAGTGTCGTCTGATTGGATGAGGCTGTCGTCAAGAAGATCGTTTATGGAAAGACACGTGATGCTTTGTGGAGCCGTGACGTCACTCTCCAAGGCAGAGTCAACTTTATCTTCGTATTCAAAGCTAACTTTGTGTTCCAGGTTAGAAAAACTTTCACGCAGAGCTTCAATGGTTGGGGAGGTCAAATCAATGTCCCCTTCAGAAATGATGGACCATCGGCAGTTTAAATCCTGTAACTGGAGTCGACTTTGTAGCGAAGGTTTATTCCCCGCTTCATTTGTCACCGTTAAAACGCTCTCAGATTGTTCCCTCACGTTCTCCTTGTCGTTGAAAGCGTCTTCATTGTCGCAATATAAATCGTCAACCTTTTCGTCAGGGCTGTCCTCACTTCCGGAATCTCCGTCGGACGAGCTCAGAACTTCAGAAGGAGACGTAAGAGATAATGGACTCAGTTTTGGTGACGGTAGCCAAGGGTTGGTTTTAATCCGAGATCTGACTTTACGTATTGTGTTAGAATATGGATCGATATCAATGTTTGCTCTGTCTGGGAGGCTTCCGCCGCTCGAATATTGGTTTTCATCTCCATAAATTACGAAATGATCACACCTGATGAAACCGGATCTGACGTCACAATGACATCGCTCCTCCTGAAAATCGCTACCCTCGTTTCCAATAGGATAGTAGTAGTCGTCCAATTGAAGTCGATATTGAGATTTTATATCTACACTTAACTCTAGTTGACTTTGATCTTCCCGTTGAATGACGTCAGATGAACCCTGAGTTAGGTCAAGGTCAACTATGTCTGTCTCGCGTACTGCAAAATATACATTGTCTTGTCTGGGGTTGTTTGGGTCACGGTGCTCGGTCACATGATTCACCGAGTTACTGTCACCTTTCTTGGGTGATTGGTTTGGATGGTCCGACTTCTTGGCGTTTTTCTTTTTGGACTTGGACCGGCCGCGGAGGAACGGGTTCAGATTCAACTGACGAAACTTCATTCTTTTAGAAACGCCCCGAATGTCCTTGTGTTCCGAAAGTCGTCTTGAAATGCCAGACCTGAAAAATACGACAGATTAAAAGTTTCGATTAAAACACGATTGAAATGAGAAAAGAGGCGATGATTGAAAACAACGTGTCCGATATTTAGTCACGATATGGCGGTGTTTTTTTACGTCATATCTGTCCCTACTTGTATAAGAATAAAAGAACATGTTGCAGAGGAACTACATTGTTCCCCTCGAAAAATCATGAATATTCATTTCAGAGAATATGATGGGTCTCTAAGTTTAGTGATCATGCGTAAAATTTATGACAATAGGTGATCGTCAATAAAATGTAGACTTTCCAGTGGGGTGGGGGCGGGGGTACAATGCAGTACAATATAGACATGGAATTTCAGGTTTAGTTTTTGATTATAGTATAAAATAAAATGTTTAAAAATAGAAAGTTTTCAGTAAATTTAGGGTTTCATGTTTTCAATTCTGTTCATTCCAAAGACAGATAATGTCCATCATTAAAGTATTGAAAACCATCAAAAGGATCACATACCGTCATAACCTCCAATTTTACAGTTCGATCAGCTTACTTTGAAATAGGTTACATTCCACTTCATTCATACAGTTATAATTGCAAGAGAAGAATGGGCACAGTGGAATATTTTTAATGTAATTCTGTAAATGTCATTGGTCCCACAGAGATATACGCAACTTATTCACAAAGAGAAACTCTGGCAGAAAATCAAATTAAACTTTGAAACAGAACAGAATAAAACGCCAATGATGTTTTTTTTACATCCAGCCATGCTAGCGAAGAAGATTTGTCAAGGGAACATGAAATCGTTCACACGGACGTCCCATTATAGTGTTTAAGGGCCGTGATATCAAATCAATAAATAAAAAAACACATTAAATTAGGCTTGACGTACAGGAATATAATTCAACTCCTTGTGAGCCATAATGCCACGTCTCAAGAAACCAGAAACAGGCCCCATAAGAAATAACAACCAGCACATTTTCCTGTTGAGAAACAATGAAGAGGATGTTTTACGGATCTCAGATCTAATGCTAGATAATAAAATCTACATTTTCTTGGTAGAAAAGCAATCAACGAGTCCACATTTTCAAGAAATTCGAGGATACCTTGAACGACTATATAGTAATTACATCCATTGTCTCATTCGGGACTTTAAAACCATCAGAGACCAAAGTGTCGATACAAATATTCTGAAATTGTTATTTAATGCGATCAAGTATATGGTTAAAGCATAAAAGGTTGTGCGACTTTTAGCACAATGAAATGTGCCAGTTATGTAGGCGAAAGACTGATCTCAATCTCGGGAATTATTAATTCGTCAAGCTATAACAAAGCTGAAAACAAACGGAGATAATTGAAAACGAAGGGGAGATAATCCTGTAGAAGAATTTAGAGTCTGGTAGACAGCCAATGGGGATAATAGGAGAGCTGTTGGTTGGTGGTGGGTAGGTTAATGGTGGTTGTTGCGGAACAAATACTAAGCTGTTGCCAAAATATTCAAAATGAAATCGACATTAAGATAATAAAATGAAAACATTTTGATATGCTGAAATATCGAATTGATTTTTTTTCCAGAAGAATGAGTAATTTTTCAATTTAAAATTGATATCGCATTCTTTAACTGAAACCGGGAAAGTCACCAAAACATACTGATACCTATAAATATATCACATAATTTCATACCAAAGATTGAACACACTATCTACAGCACAGAATATCTAATAAAGTAACATATAACATGTATATATTAACCGGGCACACATTTACGTCTCCACTATGTACCCAAAGTAGACATCGGTTAAACAGACGGACGAACAAAAAGACGGACAAAGAAAATATCACTAAGCGTATTAAAAGTCAAGAGAAAACGCGTTTCCAAACAAGAATATGTAACGTGACAATTAGCTTGGCCAACAACTTACCAAAACTTTATTGTCTCCATAATCCAAGTTAAATCCTCTGGAAACATATTTGCTTGTAATAATATTCACGTTATATTAAAACAGTAGAATATCCATCCTTTTTTCCCCCGACATAGTTCCTTAGAGCTGTGGACTACATGGGCACGAAGCCCCACAAAGCCATTACGACACAATCCACTTGATTTTGTTATCATTTAGGTAAGCACGACAGGTTTTATCTGCAGGACGATTTTTTTTTTTACTTTTCTGTAAAACTTTTGCAAAACAAAAACAAGCAAATACGTTATCTTTTCACTAGTTGGAAGAGCGCATGCGTCATACTATATGCATAACCCACAAGGGGGTTTGGTGTTAGAGACCAAAAGTGTTATATTATTTACCTGCAATTGTTTACTTAAAAAAATGAAAAAGAAAATGTTAAAAACAAAAAACGCTGTATTTAAAACTAGCCTTCATAAAGTCGGGTGCCTTAAAGAAATCATTCTGTAATCCCTTTAGATGCCCCTAATTCATTTGCTGCACAAACATCGACTTCTGAGGAAAATGAAGTTTTTGACATTTTATAATTTTATCTGATCAGACGTATTTTGTTCCTCCGGTTAAATGTTAGGTGGTTTTTGATGTACAACAACACATCTACATGTAGTAACCTAGCCGACATCTTTTGTGGCACAAATTAACTCTCCGAGCTACCAAGCTTATCACAATGATCTAGCTTCTCGAATCTCACGCAAAATAAAAAACAAAAATATCAAAGGGCCGACGAAGGAGAAGATTTAAAACAAGATGGCGAGGTATCGTTTTTTTATGGACAATCTCGTGAAAACTCTTTCTCTTCTTCACCTTAATACCTCCCGAAGTAAACACGCCTGTTTCCGGCTTTATATTGTGTGTTCACGTTCACCTTCTAATAGAAACGCATTGTTAGCATATTGCTTGCGTTTTTAGATCATCGAGATCACTATTGTATCGGAAACAGTAGTGAATTCGGGCTTGTTTTTCTAAAGATTGCATCAAAGATTTCTTTTTACTTTCCATATACAGACCATACATTTAAATAACATGTTATATAGAATGTCGACTTGCCAACTACCTTAGAGTGTCGTTAGAAAGAAAGCGTTCTCTTGTATACATTGTTACCCTCTTTGGTCCGTGAAATATCTGTAAGTTTTTTAAAAAATGTGATAATGGACACTTACTTCCTGGTCAATAAACCGTACGTCATTTCGTAGATTTTATTTGATCTAAATATGGTAAGATGTCTCGGATCTTTTTAATATGATACTATGTCTTACTTTTTTTTAGAAATTACGATATTATCGGCATGACATTAGAAAATTGAAAGATATTATGTTTTTTTAAATCTCAATAATTGTACAGCACAATCCCTTCGCGATAACCAGACACAGTTAATCACATATGGTGTGGTTTTATACCGCCGATTATAAAATACCATTAGGTTGCGTTCCCTAGGTTTACAATACAGGAAGTTGAAGGATTTAATAGTAATCAACGTGTTAGTATTTCCGGAGCGGTCCCGTGTAAATCTGTTAAACGAAGCAACACGTGTGCTATGCTGAAACTTTTTTTTTTTTTTTAAAGGATGAATTTTCTTATTACGGGCCTTCATTAAGGATTTCCCGATGTCTTAAATGACAAAAAAATGTAGGAGAAAAGAAACGTAATTCACGAATTGTCGGAAGTTCCGATATTGTGGTGCCAAGGTTTTTACTATCCCGGGTTAACTGACTCGGTATGACCTTGTACAGTGTAGACGGCTGTCTCAGTATCATATCGGATATAAGTAATCCAGGAGTATTGGGAAATGAGATATTCCTGCACAAATCAAATATCTTCAATCTATCATATATTGACATAAACACTCTGAAAGGGAAATTGAAACGCAAGCTTATACTTGGCAATTTCGGAAGTGTCCGCCAGAGAAAGAAAACATATATATATATATATCAGTTGTACTCGATTTATCAAATTCCTTCTCGGTATCCATTTACTTTTGATTAATTTTAGAGCTATGACGCGTGCGTCTGGGCATATTTTTCATTTTCTAAGTGGTCCGGGTTCCATTTCCCAATAGAAACATTGCTTACTTGTACTATCCCATGCCTTACAGTGGCAATCACATTTTAGCCTTTCGGATACAATGACTTTATACGATATTAAACACATAGCCGGACATACTTGATGTGTCAAACTTTAAACCAAGATATTGTGTGTCATCAAATTTATCCTCTATTGTGATCTTAAAAAACGTCTCGTAGAATATGAAATTAATCTATATGAGTGGCAGGGAGAATATAAATTTAGTACAAATGAGGTATACGTGTTGAAATTAGGTAAAGGGGGTTCACGGGAGGTATCAACTTTTTCATGTTGTTTTGTCGATATTGACAGAAAACAAGGTAGTTTTAAAAGCAACTGAAAACATCAGTTTTCTATTTCATTGAAAGCCGTCGAAACAGTCATCAAAGCTTCTGTGAACGAAATATAAACACCATCGTCGATAGTTAGATACACTGAGGATGTCGTGACGTCATCATCGATAGTTAGATACACTGAGGATGTCGTGACGTCATCATCGATAGTTAGATACACTGAGGATGTCGTGACATCATCACCGATAGTTACACACACTGAGGATGTCGTGACGTCATCATCGATAGTTGCACACACTGATGATATCGTGACGTCATCATCGATAGTTACAAACACTGATGATGTCGTGACGTCATCGTCGATCGTTAGATACACTGAGGATGTCGTGACGTCATCATCGATAGTTACAAACACTGAAGATGTCAGGACATCATCATCGATAGTTAGATACACTGAGGATGTCGTGACGTCATCATCGATGGTTACAAACACTGAGGATGTGACGTCATCATCGATAGCTACAGACACTGAGGATATCGTGATAAAAGAAATTAAGTTTGATTCTTTACTGGAAGTTAGGATATCGAGTGTAAGGGAGATAACTTGCGGTTCGTTACATGAATTATTATCCCAAATATAAGATATTTGCTTCTTCGGTTTATCACCCGTTAAGAAGACAGGGTCGTTATCAGATGGGATCCCCTTGAAGTTACTAGTGGCTACCTTACTGAACAACGAACGAAAGGCCCGCCGCAAGTCACCCAGAGCATGTGGGTTAAATTTTCTTTCCCAAAAATACACGACAGCCTCCTAAGAATTATATAACGCTACGGGACATTTGATAGAGTTGTAATTTTTTTATGTTTCATATTTCAAAAAGGTTGATGTCTACAAAAGGCGGCCTTTTATAATTGATTTGAGATAAACAAGCTACATTTATAGATAAACATGTCTGAAACTTCAAGATGTAGCTGGATAAATATCACTTAAAACTGCGATACATAAAATCACAAATTCAGCTTTAAAGAAAAAGATATTTAGGGAAAGTTTAATTTCAATCTCATTTTATAGTCCAGTGACCTACTGTTTCTAAACAAACGTTTAGCCTCTTGACAGACAATAAGGAACTCTTTCCTTTATCACATGGGAATTTCAAGAAATTAATGACTTTTCGGTATTAATTCTTCATAAGGATTTAGTAATGTGATTTTAAAATTGTTCTCTTTACAATCTTCTGTGTGTACCCCGTGTGGTGCCTCCTTTCGCTTGGACTCTGGTCGATATTTTCCCTGGGGTTATCAGAGTATGCTAATGGTATATAGCTATTTTTCTGATTCATTACAAATCTGTAACTACAACCAACCTCATCGATACACATCTAATAAGCGACATATGTAATAGTGACTTTCGGAACCCATTTGATTTATACACACGATGTCCTTGGAAAGTCGTTCAAAATTCATGCAGCCTTTTTTTCTTCATCAGATTTATTTTGTTATTTAAAAGCTACATACAATGTACAAGTATTTTGAACGTATTTAACACTTCTTTTGTGACGTATTTTTTTAGCAGTACTTCTGAGACTTTAAAAATGAACTTGCACTTGGAATGTTCGATACGTTAAAGTGTCGTTTATTAGCGTTTTTTGAAACATTTCACTGTTCCAACGTGCAAAAATATCGATTTATCCTTATAGGTCTATATACTTAAAATAAGTATTTATTAGAATTGTTTGGTTTTAATGGTCGTAAATTCATGTTGATAATTTGAAATATCTGTTTGTGGTATGAGAAAGAGGTATAATATATTGGTATCTGCGTGCACAGGAAACATTAAGACAAATTTAATATTGACATAGAACATCTATCCTGCTTAACTCACCAGACTTTGTAGCGCGAGTAATATTCTTCAATTCAAAATAGATGAGATGGTTTACGTGGTTTGTTCAGATTTATCAGATGGGATGTGTTTATCTTCGTGTATCATATGTACATTTGTAGTTTACATTCTGCTCCCAAAGTCAGACTAAATTATGATGCAAATAAAAATCGGAAATACCGACTTTGTTTACAGTATTCATTTGACGGTTTTTTTTCTATAAATAAAAAATAAATAATTTTTCTATTCTGTTTTCATTTTTTCATATTCTTATATCTGTTGTTCATTCATACAAAATAAGCAGTCAGAATATCAACATGGTACTTTCATATATCAATGGTTAAACTCTGATGACCTGTTACGTGAACCAGTGAACATCTGCCACTATATAGATTCTACATAAAACAAACCGTGTGCTCTCTCCTATCAGACCGGGCATCGGCAACACAAAGTGTATTTAATCGTCAGCGAGGAGAGCGAGACATTAACTTATATATATATGGAATGTGTCTAGGGAACTAAGCTATGAAATATGAGTGTTAAACTCTTAATTTAATATGCATTTAATATTGCCCTCTTAATGAATATTTACCAAAGATAATGAATAACATCCACGATATAGTGTGATAAGATAATGAGGAACCTATAACGTTATCTTGTACACGATTAAAAAGTAATATTTTTTTTCATAATTCTGAGCAATGATACATGAACATTTTTTTCTGTAAATATATAAAATAAAAAATAAATAAAATCAGTATGTGTCCTACCTCAGTATTATTTCGACAACTTTCTCCCAGCTTATATTTTGAAGATGCTGACGTCGTATATAGTCCAACTCAATTAAAATAGAAGTCGTCATTTTGAATGTATCTGCCTCTTCAACCAGCTCTATTTGAACTTTGCCCCAATTCTTAATAATATCGCGACGTGTTTATGAAATATACATGTATGTATATATATATATATTACTTACCTGTCAGTTTGAAGAGTCATAGCTGGCAAACTGGAATATCCGTTTTTCAGTCAAATTAATGTTGCACTTGAGTAATTCGAGTATAATCAATATCAGATTTGATGGTAGGTGTCAGTTTGTGAATCGTCTCCGTAAATACGTATCTCATAGTATGTTTTGGCATTTTATATAGCTCAAGTGGTTTACACAGGTCGAATGTTTTTATAACACTCGGGGTTGTGTTTTTATATCTTCTTTGTAAGCTAGCGCCTCGATTGTTTTCACTTTTTCCCCAGTGCCGTTAATATCTAAGAAAACACGTATGAGCCAGGTGTGGTTTTCGCCATGTGGCCGAAATACCGGTAACACTCTTGTTGACGAGTGAACGGTTGTATTGGGTGTCGGCACGTGTGATGTGCTAATTAAGCATTGTTCTGTGATCTGCTGATCACAGGTTTGATAACACGTTCACAGACACGATAGACCGACCGTGTATATAAGTGAGAAAGATACACATGTATCTGCATGGAACTAGCGAAAGGCCTAATGGAGGACAAGATCAGCTTTCGGCCCCTTTGTCAAGGAACGATAACATATGTACAACGCATGCTTGGGTTTACACAGATCTTTTTGATAATGGTGAATCGTCTATGTGATATACAGTCTCTAATGCATATTGTTGGATTTATCTCATGAAATTCAACTACAACTCGCATGAAATTAATTACTAATCACTTTTACCTGTCACATTTTATTTTCATCTGGCTTCTTAACACATGGTCGACAAAAATTCTCAGACTTAACCACCCAAGAGAATTTATGTATCATTTGTATGTTTGTTTACTGAGGGTATCTCATTTTAAACAACAAACGTCAGTTTAAGGTGGGGTCCCCTTTTTGAAGCTGGTGGCTGCCCCATTGAACAACATCCGAGAGGCCCGTAGCTTGGCATCTAGGGCAATTATGGTACAGTAGCTTACAAAGGTAGAGTGCACAACCAGAACGTATCATTGCGGAATCGTTTCCTGTATAAATGAATAATAATGAAATTGATTTAATTCGAATTCCTAATTATATTGTATGCGCGTGCGCAAGTATTGGGAACGTATAGACCGATTCATCCATGTTTTGTATTTATTTCATTGAAAATGCTGAACGCCAAAATATTTCAAGAATAACGAACAGTCTGGAAAATCACATTCAATCTCTCTCTTGAAAAAACAGGACACAACTTGTAGACTATCTGCATTTCATTATGTAAAAATTCCCAGAACATACACAACATTTCCTATCCTTTGTCACTTGAAAGTCAAATTTCCTGACAAACCCTACGTATAGCTGTGTTCTAGTGTCATAAATTCATACGCGAAAAAAAAACAATTTCCGACCAGCAAACCCTATTTTTCTCTCCGAGACAGATGACGCCAACAGACGATGCTGTCGATTATATAATAATATCAATAAAGTATTATATAACCATTTGTTACTGGACGTGCCCAGTAGTGTCGCTCTCAGCCAACTAGTTATTTGATAAAGCCGAGATGATATTCACATTCGTACAATAGGAATCGTCTAGAATTATTTATTTGATAAAACCGATATATTTATATTCGTGAAATATATGTCTATCTATTTTCATTTATTTAATTGTTGCATTGGATTGCGTAATATGAAAGAAGAACACATGTGAACCGTGTTTTCGGTGAACGGGATTGGATTTTGGGTCCTCGAACGGGCGGAGGTCCAGAATAGGGGTGATGAGGGGCAAAGTGACTATAGCGGTCAGTATAGATAGGAAATTTAGTTTGAGTTAAAAAATATACAAACAATAGAGAGTGTTGTTAAAAACAGTATCTATAAATGTATGTGGGCAATTAAGTAATCTTTAGAGGCTTTTTTTCTATTCAAAAGTAAGTCTCAAATACCATACAATAAACTTATTTTGTCACTTTATGTAAACTATTGTTAGAAGTTCTTTTAGCCAGGATAATGTGAACACAGTTCTCAGTGGTGATGTGGGCCAATGACAAACACTTTTATAGTGCAATCATACTGAAATGTCATAGCCTTGACACGTTGGAATGATTCCTATATCAGTCACATTATGCTCATACATGGACACACTTAGAGCGCCACCACACTGAAATGTCAGGACCTGGACAAGGTAACAAGGCACCCCGCCCTGACACATTATACTGACCAGGACTCTTTTATAGCGCCACCACACTGAAATGTCAGGACCTGGACAAGGTAACAAGGCACTCCGCCCAGTCACATTATACTTACAAGGACTCTTTTATAGCGCCATTACACTGAAATATCAGGACCTGGACACGGTAACAAGGCACCCCACCCAGTCACATTATACTGACCAGGACTCTTTTATAGCGCTACCACACTGAAATGTTATAGTATGGAAATCGCAGCATGCCACCTATAACGTTCATATTACACTAACAACGGACTGAATTTTCATATAATGAACACAACATCACAAAGAAAACATTGTAAGATGAACACTTCATTACATCTTTAAAATCCATCAGTGACATCCTCTTTGTCTAAGCTATACGGTCCCAACTGGTTACACTCCTCATGAGAATGGTCAGTTGGAAGTTTAAACTTCCGCCTATGTCAATATGGCAGCTCAAGAAGGACATGATGTGTTGTTTAGATGTGTATAATGACAGCTGTTTGCTTGCGTTTCGTAATTGTTAACAGTTCGAAATATAATAAAGCTGACTAAAGAAATCAGTTGTTTAGATGTGTATAATGACAGGCTGTTTGCTTGCGTTTCGTAATTGTTAACAGTTCGAAATATTATAAAGCTGACTAACGAAATAAGTTGTATGGAGAAAAAGACAACTTATGTATGCCATGATTTACGTTGTCAAACTAAACACGATCCTCATTCTGTAGAGTAACTTGTTTTTCTATCAGATTATCAGATGACCTGGAGTTAAATTGTATGGTTTTATTCGTGCTTGAAATTGAGGAATTACAGAATTGTATCAAATCAATTAAAACTTGGGAAAGCTTTAATGCATAATCACTCTGGTTGAAGTATTTTCGAGGCATGGTAACATTAAAATCTTTGTTCGAATGAGGGACAGAGAATACATTCAGCAGAAACCCAACGATGAAAGCAAAAATCTACACTGAAGTTTTTGATGTCTGATTTTTGTTGTTTTGTCGAAATTTGCTGAATTAAGTGTCCATGTTTCAACACCAAGAAAACAATAGTTTGAATACACTCTTTAGATTCTAAAATTTTAAAAAAAATCAGTAAACCGTTTATTTCCATCTTCTGAACATAACTCTTTCTCAGTGCTTTGAAAAGTTTCCAAGAAATTTCAAGAAAACAGCTGAATATTTCACTTTGATACACTCTCGTAGAAAGATTTTTCCATCTATAGATAATCCACGCGCGCGTGCACGACCTCTGTATCAAACATGGAGCAAGAACGAGCTAATAGCTTGTAACACAGAGTAATGTTTCTTCCATGTGATAAACTGAACGTGACCACCCAGACACATAAATATCAGGCCATTTATCCTTAAAACGAATCACGCATCGCGCTTACAACGTTAAAAAATTACATTGTAAGTGTGTTAATAGACAATCTATCGTCTGCTCGTGTTCATTTATATATATATATACATAAAAACGTCTACTGGTTTATCAATACTAAGTTATAGAGAGAAAAACTTTTGTTAGATTCTTCAAATTGTTTATCTCCCTTTAATTTGGCAGAGAGAAAGTGATTGAAGAGAGAGGGAGAAAAGGAGGGAGAGTTATTTCCTGGCCGTATTACTTGGGACATGCATAGATAAATACTACGTGTTATTTGGACGTAATTCCCTTCTCTCTCACTCTCCCTCCCTATCTATGAACAACAGTTTGTCTCAATAATCTGACGTTCATACATATTTTATATTCTCGCGACCGTAAAAGTCATTTACTTTGCCGGAAATTCACAAACAGAAAATCTCAATTCATTGTCGGGACATCTGTTACATAATAAAATCTCACTTTATACATAATCGGTAGCATCACAAACGGACAATCTCATTTGTTATCGGGACGTGTGCTTTAACTGTCCTTGTTATCTCTAAGGACACAGAAATATGAATTTCCTAAGAAAGGACCCTTTTTAATCGATTGTTATATATAGTGAATTTATCGAGAGATACAGTTAAACGTGAAAATGAACTTCGAAATATATTTATATCAACAGTCAAAGTGTGGTGTCTCGAATTAACAATACCTGACAATGTACCAACAATACGTGAGGGAGGGAACAGACAGCATGACGCATGACAGCATGACAGCCTGACAGCCTGACAGACAGACAGACTGACTGACAGCCTGACAGACGGACAGACAGACAGCCTGACAGACAGACAACACTATAAAATTTGATACCAGCAAACACGTGTACATGTGCATAGATTTTAATGTTCAAGTAAATGACCCCGCCAACCTCCCGCTCCCTCTGGACGTGAAAACTCAGACATGTGTGACGTCAGTGATATAATGTTCTATTCCTCTTTACACCCCAACTTCGAGTCATTCAGACAGTTTATAGAAAATTGATGTTAAAGGCTATTTTGTACATGCGCCAGACGTTTTAGACGACCGCAAGCAAATTACCCGCATTTTCTTACGACATCATAAAAGCTAGATCTACAAAATGGTTGGCATGTACCATGAATCATACTCATTCCATTTCCCGGAAGTTGACATGGACCTTTTTATTGACGGTAGATTTGAAATACGAATTCGAATACAAATTTCATTATAGAACGTATATTTCCAGTCTGAAACCCGCACCAGGAAAAAAACTGAGAATTTCCTGTCACTGAGTGAACAGGGAATCGATGAAACCTAAATATGAAGATATATATGCATCCTTAGAAGGTAGGCGGGAACTGATGAACAAACAGAATTATTTCTGGAGGGAATAAAGGTATACATTTGAATGCATTTTCTCTAAAACAACTTTTACTGAAAACGATGAAAAATTCCTAGACATTTTTAGAAGATTTCTTTACGAAAGTTGTTAGGTATACATTAAAACGGAGTTTACTTTTTTAGTGTGATCTGTGACCGGCATCAAGAACCTTTACCCAATACCGTGCGGCTACAGCAAAGCATGTGCATGGCCTTCGTGCAAATCTGATGCACGTGAGCATAACACGTGTCAGTATTCGTTGCCGGTATCTGCTCATTCATTGAGAGGGTTACGATCACTAAACGCCTATACACTAAATATAACTGACACTGACGATAGAGTCTGTACTTATAGAGAAAACCTGTTCTAGTAAACGCCGCACAATGCGAAAGCGAACACGGCCATTTC